ACATTAAATAGGAAGTTCTCTATAATCTCTTCCTCCGACCACTGACTCCAGCTGGCGTGAAGCTCCCACTTCTCCAGATATTCTGTGATACCATAGCCCCTGAAGGTAGGAGGCTTTGAGGCTTTGTGCGTAATAATATAGTGATCCTTGCCCTCGTAAGGGAGCGGATGTGACTCCCCTGTCCGGGGGTCGAAGACTCGCCTGGGCGGCGCCCTGTCTCTATCTCTGTCCCTCCAATAGGAATCCCTCAAACTCTCTCTCCAGTCGTCTCTGTGCTTGTCCGCTATGGTGTCCCTCTGCTCGTACTTGGGGGAGCGTTGCCTCGTCGCTTCTCGTCGTCCGCTCGAGGTACCCGTTTTTAGAGTCTCCTGCGGCTCTGTCGCAACTGGTTCGCCCCTTACGTCGGGCCCTCCGTCATTGGTTTGGTCAGCCCATCTCAGCGGTGTTTCTCGCCTAATTCGTTCCTTCAGATCCCTCAGAGCTCGATCGGGCGATGTCCTGTACTCCTCTCCCGCTTCGCCCGTGGTCGGTTGTGGCCCCATCGTGTCGGGTTCCATTGGACCGCCAGAAGACACAGTTAGGTRTTCTAGCCAAYTRTTACAGYCCGACCCTATGACAGTCGCTGCAGCCCGGACCTGTGACAGTTGCRGCAGMCCGGACCTGTTTCCTTGTCACGGCTCGCGTCCGCYTCCAAYCTTAGCTCTCGACTGCCTTGATTACCACTTCCAGTATCCCGTACCGGTCGCAGATCTCGTGCTCTCCCTCTATCCCAAGAATCCCTGTGTCTAAGTAAACCTCTCCTTCGGGATCGGCCAACAAGGCCGGCCTCTCCGGATCTGCAGTACACCCGTGACAGGACCTCTATCCTTGAGACAGATCGCAGTCCCAAACCTAGCCAATGTCTCCTGATCAACACCCCTCAAGAGTCTCCGAGCGTCTATCTCCGTCCTCCTTGCTAGTTCTCCTAGCCCTATCCTGAATCGCTTAGCCCGCTAAAGGCCCTCTTACTGCCATCCAAAGTTGCCCTCTACTACGAACGTCGGAACTATCGCCCGCAGGCTCCTAACGCTGTACGGGAAAAACCTGTCCCGTGCTACCACCAGCTCGCCCGTGATATCAAGAGGAGGGCGTCCGTGAAATAGGGTCAACGGGTCGCTCGAGTCCTCCGCTCGGAAGGCAGCTACCTCTTCCCCTAGGTAGTGTAACGCCCTGCTAACTGTACCACTAGTCCCTGTCGTCGCGAGGTCCACCACGGCCTCCCTGACCACACCCGGTGCCAAATACAAGTAGGCTCTCACTACGCCCACTCCTTGCCCCGGCCGGTGCTCTCTGTACGTCCAAAGCCACACGTCCTCGGACAAGATTATGGACCTCCACGCAAACTGGCCATCAACGTGTCGAATGTTGCGCCCGGGGATCGTGAGCTCCACCAGATCCCCCTCTATGAGTTCAAGGGGCTCCAAGTCCCAGTCAATGGTAGCCCCATAGACCTCTACTTGCACCCGCGGCCACATTCAACTGGCGGCTAGCGAGAACGCAGCAAGAGGGAGGTGTAGATTAATAACTGAAAATTCCCGTCGCTTGCCTCACGCCTTCGGGAACAAGCTAGTAGGTTCACCCGAAACCAGGTTACCGCAACGTCTCTTTCCCTTCTCCTTCTAGGGAATTCTTTTGTATTTTTTAATTATAAATAAAAAAAATATATTTAGTTAAGATAAATTTTATTTCTTAGTTTATATATATTAAGGATCAATACATATATAAGTCCGCCGAGTTTGATGATTTTTAGGGGTAGAAATAAAATTTGGGGAATTTACTAAAATTTCGGCAGCGTTTCGCCTCCCCCCGTTGGGATGGGGTTCAGGCGAAACCCTCAAACAGCGCTGCCGAAGAGAGAATATCAAAAGGAATAATGGAAAAAAAGAAAAATTGATTTAACTCGATTTTTAAATATTTTTGTTAATTAATTAGCAAAAATTTAAATTAAAAGGGAAATTTCGAGAAACTTCGACAGCAGTTTTCCTTCCCCCCCGGTGAGATGGGGTTCGGAAAAAAGTTCCTCAAATAGGTAAACTAGATATGAAGAGCACTGAAGTCAAACAAATGCCCCTACGCAATTTTTAATATTTATTTCAATTTTTTTATCGATTTTAAATAACAAAATCAAAAGTAAAATAATTCTTAATTATTTAATGGGGCAAAACTTCCCGAATTAATTTCCATAATCTTACGGGATATATTTGACAAAAAATAATCCGTAACAAATGCGGAAGCTAGAAGCTATGGCTTCCCTCTATCTACCCGCTTCTCTCAAAATTGGGGTTAGGACTTCACCCTACTTGAGGTTTCGGGGTTTCGTGCGCAACCGCACGAACACCGCAAAGCCCTGCTCGACCCGAGAAAAATTTTGTTAGCTTTCACTAGTTTTAGAAGAAAAACTTATTGGATTACATTTTTAAATTCCTTTTTCTTTTAATTTAAACAAAATTACAAAGAAATTCAAATTCCCGTTGATTTTCTTCCACCTTTTCTATCTGTTGGAGCTCGTCGTTTGTCCAAACAAAGTCCGTTTTCCCCGACTAGGGTCTTCAAAATGTCGGGAAAAATACAGGGACCAACTTTGGTCCCAGCGGGGTTCCCCTAATTTCGCTTATTTTCCCGACCATTTCAATAAAACGAAAATCAAAATTTTTAGAATTTTTAATCAAAAAATATAAAAAATTCCATATCTCGCTTTTTAGCCATTCGAATTTCTCAAAAAATGTCTCAAAACATTCGCCTCGACGAGAGGACGAACTTTGCACCCAGGGCGCCTCGCACGAAAGCGTGCGGATCAGGAGATATCGAGGAAAAATCAATTAGAATTTTTAACTCATAATTTTTGGGATTTTTAATAAGAAAAATATAAAAAATTCCATATTTTTTTTTTTAGCCATTAGAATTTTTCAAAAAACGTCTCGAAACGTTCGCCTCGACGAGAGGGCGAACTTTGCTCCAGCGCGGCTCGCGCAAAAGCGCGCGGATCGGAAGATATTTCAAAAAAACTAAATAAAATGATTATCAAAAATATAACTAATCAAGAAAACAAGCTAATTAGTGTTTGACTAATCAGCCCGTGCACCC